GGAGGGTGTTCCAATACAGTTATTTGTTGACTGGCTAAAAACTCCCTCACAGACAGTGCTGTGTGAGCTGGTGCATTGTCGTGATGCAAGAGCCATGAATTGTTGGCGAAAAGTTCAGGTTGTTTTCGTCTAACTTCTTCATGCAGCCTTTTCAGCACTTTCAAATAGTAAACTTAGTTAACTGGTTGCCCAGTTGGTACAAATTCATAATGAATAACCCATCTGATATCAAAAAAGGTTAGCAACATTGTTGGAACAAGTTCGTGAACTTAATTGTTAGACCTCGTATGCTAAATGATTGTAAAAGTGTATTTCATAGTAATAGCTAATGTTCACTGAGTTCTTAAGTGTGACAGACCTTGTTCTAGTGATTAGCATATGTTAACCGGGATGTCTATTCAGCAGGCTCTGTCATTACCTTCATCTTACCCACAAGGGAACTGAGACTTGTGCAGGTCACAGCAAGTCCTTGAATCCAACTCCTTCCTCTTGGTTTTTAGCTAATTCTCTTGGGTTGTTCAGATAGTATTATCATCTGCAAATAAGAAAAATTTTGGCTTCTCCTTCTTAAGAGTTATAGTTCTTTTGTTTTTAGTGTCTTATTGAACTGCCCAGAACTTTTGGATTCTTGATACGAAAGGCATCCTTGTCTTATTCCTGAATTAACTGAAAATGTGTTATTTCACTGCTAAGTATGCAGTTGGATGTTGGTTTTGTATATATGTCATCATGTTGTAAAGTTATTCTTCTTTTTCTAGTGCATAAAAGATTTTCTGTCATTTGACATTTGTCAAAGAGAACTGCTTGCTGCCATCTCCGTGCCCTTTTCTTATCACTGGTGATTAGGAGGGAAAATTTAGCTGGTGCCTCTATTGCTCTGCTCCTAATAGAACTGTAGTAGCTAGGAGGCCCAAAGCTCGTGGAGGGACCTAAAAGGTTTCTGTCCTGGCCCCCTGGACCTCATCTTGGAATGACTTTGGTTTGAGGTACTAGGACATGTAGGACTCAGAGTCAGTTGCTGTACCATTGATGTGGCTGAGGCAGGGTCTAGCCAGTGCTTGTGGAAAATGGGGATCAGGACCCAGCCCTTTGCACTCCCCAGATCAGCTTCAAAGCCTGGGAAGAAAACCACTTTCTGGTTGCCAGGTGAGCAAGGTACTGTTGCGCCTGAATTTCCTGAGATTCCTCCCTTGTCCCTCAGACCCAGGCACTGACACACTTCTGTGTGTGTGTGTGTGTGTGTGTGTGTGTGTGTTTCATGTGGGTGCATGTGTACATGTGTGTGTGGCAGGGGCAGTGGGGGGCAGTACTGGGAAAACTTGTCTTTGAACAGAAGCCATGTGAAGAGACAAACATGTTGGCTATTATGAGCTGACCTCTCGTTTCCGGAGCCTGGGAGGGACAGATGCTATGCTGGCTTTGAAGTGGGGCCGATGAGCTTAAGTTGGCCTGTGTGGAATGCTTGGCAGCTGCCTGCAAGTCCCCAGTCTGCTTTCAAAATAGCCCTGTCTGTCCCTGGGAGCGGAGCACAGCTGCCCAGAGCCTGCTTGTGGGCGTCAGGCCAGCAGTGAGGCTCAGATGCTAGGATGGGGTCTAGCTGTGGCTGCAGTTGTTGTCAGGGAGGAGCCATAGACACGAGCTCTCAGGGAAGCCCTCTGTGCTGGGTACACTGGCCATGCCGCAGCAGCAGTGTCCAGGTTGGCCGATCTCACCTCCTGCCCAGCCTTCTGGTCCATCCACTCCTCTCCGTACTTTCTGCCACCCCCTGCCCAGGCCACCACCACCTCGTGCCCTGACTTCTGCCTTGACCTCCTCATTGGCCTTGCTCTGATTCTGGTCCCTCCTTAGTCAGCTTTCCACTAGGCATCCACAGGGATCCTTCTTACATTCAGATTGTGAGTGTCCCTCCCTTGTGTAAATCCTTCCTGTTTTTCATTGGCCACAAGGTCACATCTAGGCCCAGCCCCCACTGGCCTCTTCAGCCTGTTCTCTTACCTCTAACTTTTAATCCACAGTCATAGTGCTACACCCATCTTCATTCCCGGGCCTCTGCTTTGCTGTTCCTTCCCTCTTCCTGTAATACTTCCCCACTTGGCTAACTCCTGCTACCCTTCAAATCTCAGGTAGGTGGTTCCTGCTTCAGGAAACCATTCTTGACCCTACAGACTGAGCTCCCACAGACATTAAGCTTACCCTTCTCCCAGCTCTTCCCATGCTGTGTGGCAATTACCCAGGTTGTTTTCTGCCTTCTCCACTTGACTGAGTTGCAAGATGGCAGGGACCATGTTCTGGTTACCCAGCATAGTGCCAGGCGCGTAGTAGGCACTCATTAAGTATTTATTGAAATTAAGGGGAAGTGCTGTTGGGGTGGGGCTGTTTGGGTCTGTGGTCTCACCTATGTGAGGTTATTAGGACAGTCTGCAGCTGGAGCACTGGGGGCTGGCTGTGGGCAGCAGGTCCTTCCTGGGAGTATGACCGCACCTGTCTATAGAGACTGGGGGAGGTAAGGTAGGAGGGAGCGTGTGTGTATGTGAAGTGTGTATGTGGGGTAGGTGGCTTCAGGCAGCAGTTCACTTACATCGACTTGTAGAGTCCTTTCCTGATTCTGTCATCTGACCTTGCAAGGCTCCTGAGGGAGAGAAAACCGCGCTTCCTATGTTTTCTCCTGTAGCAGCAGGAGCCCAGTGTTCGGGTAGGTTTCTTGACAGAGGAGGCCACCGAGGTTCCAAAGGATGGTGGACTTGACCAAGCTGAGAGGAGTGTGCAGGGTTGAGGCTCAGGGTCGGTGGCACAGTGTGAATGTGGTGGGAGCAGCCATGCTCAGCTGTGCTCAGGCAGGGGTGGTGTGTGGACCTGGTGAGAAAGGGGGCTGTCCAGGCAGGTGAGTGGCTGCACAAAGCAGACTCCACAGGCATCATTCTGTAGACAACACGGACCTTGGTGGGAGCAGGGGTGGGCAGGGACCGAGCAGGTTGGGGGTCAGGGTCTGAGAGCAGAGCAGAAATGTGGAAGCCTCAGACTACTGCCCTGGCCTGGCTTGCCGGATCCTGGGGCCTTGGATAGAGCCACTGCCTGCAAAGCGTCTTTCCCCTCTAGTCTGACTGGCAAGTCTGATCCCAGTCTCTCCAGGAAAACACTCCAGGCAAAGAAGGATAAATCTGCCCTCTCTTCCTGCCTTCCAGCTTGCACGAGCCACTGTTCGTGATCCCAAGACAGGTGTCCTCACTGTCGCCAGTTACAGGGTTTCAAAAAGGTTAGCAAAGGTGATGGTGGCAGGGTGACCGCTCAAGCCTCAACTGCAGGGCCTCCCAGTTCCTACCCCATGACTCCCAAGGGAGGGTGGCTTGGCTGGTCCCACCTGCGGGCACCTCTCCCCCTTCACACACTCACCCTGTACTGCCTGTCAGTGTTGGCGCTGACCCTGGAGAGAACCTTAACCTTGCCTGCCTTCCCCACCACTCTCCCCTCTCCTCTGGCTTAGCTCCTGGCTAGAGGAGAATGATGACCCGGTTGTGGCTCGACTGAATCTTCGGATGCAGCACATCACAGGACTCACAGTAAAGACTGCAGAATTATTGCAGGTATGGCCGTCCTTGGGACCCCGGAGGTGGGATGGGGAACTTCTGCCTGGATGGTCTCCCATGGTGACCAGGGCCAGGCCTAGGGAGGCTTACCCAGCAAACTATGAACTGCACAAGGCTGTGACTATGGAGCGACCTCACATCGGGAGGCCAGAAATTAAGCATGCCTGCTGGCATTCAATAGTTAGCATGCAACAAATACCAATTGAGTATAGTCTGTGTGCCCAGGTGTCATTTTAGGAGTTAGGGAACAGCGGTGGGCACGGCAGGCCCATTCATGTCTCCTTGACTGCAGAAGCTGACACCCTGAGTTGTTCCAGGGACCCCTCTAGGAGAGCTGTACATATCTTCAGAGGTCACGGTTGAGTCCTAGTCAAATGCACTTGGAGGTGAAATGTTCTGTGCTACATTGGTCAGAGTGAGAGGTCTAGACTGGTTGGCTGGTGAAGGTGGAGTGCTCTTTTCAAGGTACCCCCGTGGACCCCTGGCTTCCTGCCTATTTCAGAGGTGATTGTGAAGACATGTGGCAGCACCGTGCTAAAAAGTTTTAGGTGAAGCTCCTAATAATAAATTCTCGGTCTACTGAGTTCAGGTCAGCACTGGCCATGCACCCTTCTGAACATCGGCACTTCCGATGGCCTGAGACACTTGCTGCAGAAGTTTCACTGGCTGTTTTCTAGAGTCTCTTGGATCTGTGTGCCCCAATTTCCTGTGTATTTAAGGATCACACCCTTCATCTTTAGGCTTGGCATGTGGATCTGATCAACTCTAGATCTCATTAGAGTATTGAACTGAAGATCATTTGGAAGAGATTCTCTGAACTTTTGCCTTGGACACACCCAAGCAAATCAGCACTCAATTTTTTATTTTTCCTCATAACTGTGTCAGCAATCAGAAAACCAAATTTGAAGGCCATCTTTATGGATTTGTGTGAAGTCCACCACAGTTTGTAAAAACACACCTATTACCTTATAGTCTTCTGAAAACTTGATGTAATCTTTTCAGTTCAGCTCAACTTAGTGGTGAGCACGCTGATAAAGGACTTCTGCCACATCTCCCACTTCCTTCTTAGGTGTGAGAACACCTCCATTCCATCAGTACTAAGGGCTCTCAGTGCACTCGGAGCATCCCTGTTGACATTATCACACTTTGTGTCTTCCTGAAGCAGGGTTTTGTTGTTAAGCTATCTGCCACTGCCTCCTGATATCAGAGCTGGTGCGAGGACTCTCATGATCCTGGTCAAGGGACGACATTCTGCTTGAGTGGCTGATTGCATACCATGGACTAAGGGGCTGAGAAGAGTGGACACAGCCTGTGCCCCTGTTGCTCTCCTGGCTGGCCTCCCAGCTGCACCCTCTGGGCCCTGTCTCACATGTAGCCCCAGAAGATACATCATCGTGCTTGGACTGGCTTCTCTGTCATAACCCTGGTTTCATGTCACCCGGCCTCTCATCGTGTTGTAGCTCAACGGATGATGGGGATCTGAATGCCAGCCCTCCCAGTGGAGGGGCTCTTTTGGAAGTTGAGGTCTTCTGGAAGATTCACACCACTGCCAGGGGGCTGAGACACCATTTTTGTTTGCTTTCTTCTGCTAGGAGCTGTCTTTGGTGTTTCCTTTGCCAGCCAGCAGTGTTGAAAGCTTTGATTCTGTGTGGTCTGGGGGACAGGAACCTGGGCTTCAGCATCTGTCTCTAAGAGTACATTCCACATTGACCGCTTGCAGTGTGATAAAGGTCACCTGCCCTCACGCCAGGGTCCCCATGGGAATGCTGCAGGCTTCTGCAAGGGAACTGGTTCTTCTGCTTGTTGCAACTCTTTCAGCTACTGTTGATGTGTTTGCTGTAGATTATTTAGAAGAGAAAAAAGGGCAGTTGAGGTTTTCTTGTGAATTGGGTGAGGGCCAGATATAGGAAGAGAAGCTACATGGCTAGAATTCTCTAAAATGGAAGACACTTCTGAGTCGATGTCTCAGCTACACCAAAAAAGTGATTTCTAACCACTTGTTTTTTTTGGCCTTCACTCTGATCTCAGTATCATAGAAACCCATGTCTTTAAATGACTGGCTGTTATACTTTCGTAACAAAAAGTCTAAAGAGTCAAATGAATTAGTGCTGATGTCCAGCTGCTTGTTCTTAAAGGTGTGAGTCTGGGGACAGGAATTTGCCCAGACAGTGAATCCGATTGCTGCAAATCCAGACGTTTCCATGATATTTACACTATTTGGGGACAGTATTAAAGAGTGTAGGTGTAATCGCTTCAGCATCATGATCAGCTGTGACTCCCCAACTGTGAAAAGGTGAGCCAGCTGGAGCAACGCCGCTGCTTTCGTGACCTGGGATCTGAAAATGTAAGGACTCCATCCAACAAGTGGGAGTGTTGGAAAATGCAGCCATGCTCTGCAGCTCCAGCCACAAGCAGTGATCGAATTTTCCTGAGTATAGAGGCACACTAACCATAGTCATGTTTAAAATTTTCTTTAAGTTCTCAACGAGAGTAGGTCCAAAGAAAAAGCATTTGTACTGTCGCTTCCTCAGCCATTCTGGCACTTCCCTCCTCAGAGGCACGCCTGCAGCCACAGAGCCACCCGCTGAGTCAGGACCCCTGCACAGTTGACAGGATTTCCAGGTGTTTGGGTATGGGAATCTTAAAGGCCGAAGCAGTAGATGACAACTTTTTTTCATCCACTGATCCTTCATATCAGAATTTTCATTTTTGTGGAGATGAAAAATCATGCTGCCCCAATTCTACATGTCATCAATCACATTAGACAAATATTGTCTGTGCTCCAACACTGAGATTTCCTCTCTTGTGAAGCCCACCCTCCCTTGCTTTCCTTCATGTCTAAGGTACTCCGTTATTGCCAGTTTTGCAGCGTCTCACCTGACTATTGGAATCGCCAAAAAGGGTACACTGAAATTACCAATTTTCTGAGGAGTAATAATAGCTCAGCCCCAAAAGTTTTTAGGGTTTCAGTAAGACACAGTAGCCAAGTGTTCCCAGATGGACACTGGTGCTACCACTTGATTGACTTCGCCTTGGACTTAGTCTCTCTTTCTACCTACTAAATATAAAATAACCATAATGATTTAAGACTTGCATTTGCTGATAAACTGTTCACAAAGGTATTTATAATTTTCTAATCCAATTAACTACACCTGGTAGTTGCTGTAGCTCAGGTGGTTCAGGTCCTATTCTGGGTCCAGGCTCCTGCTGGGGGTGCCAAAGCAGGGCAGCGGTCCTTGGCCACCTTGTAGCCACCCGCATCCTGCTGCTTTACTTGGAGGCAGAAGTACTTCATGCAGTGGGCCCCTGTGGGGTGGGAAGATATGTTAGCCCTGCTCAGCCTGACCAGGAACAGCTGTGGCGCACCGTGACAAAGGTGGCAGGAGTAGTGCCAGGCACTGAGTAGCTCCCAAACTAGCATTAAAAACAAAACAAAACAAAAATTCCAATCTTGAGTTTGTTGTTGTCTTTCAATTACCTTCTCATTATCTCCCAAACAAACAGGGCCCAGGCCGGGGCCTGCCTCCAGGGCTCCCTCTGCTGCCATCTGAGTGTCTCTGAAGGGCTGGAGCTTGATAGTGGCCACATGCGGTGGCTCACTTTGTTCAGTTTGGGAAGCCACGTTTGTGCTGTAGCCTTATTCTTCCTCTGGCTGGAGACCCATTTGCAGCCTTTGTGCTGCCTGTGATGCCCGGGCATAGTTACCCGCCACCTTAACGAGGCTGGTCTTGGGGATTCTGGTTGTTAGGGGTTTATGTGGTTCTGGTTGTTACCTGGAGAGATGGGCTGCCTCAGGGCTGTTTGTGCTGCTAACATGGTCCAACGCTGTTATTTTCCACCAGGTTGCTAATTACGGGATGGGAGGACAGTACGAGCCACATTTCGACTTCTCTAGGGTAAGGCCCTGATCACCCTAAGGGCCCTGCTCCAGCGGGTTTGAGAAGGCTGGAGCTTCTGGGAGCACCTCAGTCTCCACATCAGGCTCCCCAACCTCACCAGGGCCAACTCTTTGTTACTGGAGAAGCCCGAATCTGGATCCACGGGGCCTGCAGAGCCCAGTGCGGCCTGGCTGTTTCCCCCATGATGTGGGGAGTGCTCTTCCCGCCCAGCTCTGTTGTTTTCTGCCTTGACTCTAAAGCAGAAGCCCTCACTAGGTCTGTGAAAGCTACTCCTGCTCCCCTCACCCCATCCCCTGCCAGGGTGTACTTGGCAGCCTTGGCTCATGGTCCAGCTGATGTGGGGACCACACACTTATTACCTCCCCTGACCCTTTTGGCCCCCAGTCCTGTGGGTGGTGGGTGAAGTCAGTTGCAAACTTGGGTGAAAGTTGTTGTTTGTTGCAGCGACCTTTTGACAGCGGCCTGAAAACGGAGGGGAATAGGTTAGCGACGTTTCTTAACTATGTAAGTATCGGGGCGAGGACTGCCTGTTCACTCTCACTTAATTTTATAGAACGATGAGCAAGATGTTTTCAAGCATTTAGGGACGGGGAATCGTGTGGCCACGTTCTTAAACTATGTGAGTATGATGTGTGCGGTGTGTGGGCCTTCAGGGGAGCCTGGGTCTAGGATGCTCTCATACCCACTCCTGTCAGGGCTGATACCGCCAGCATTGCTCAGTGGCTGGGCTCTTCTGGCCCTCAGCACCCTTCTGGGCTGGAATAGAGTTGGCCTTTGTTTTCACTTGTAGGCTCCCTCTACCCCCCAAGACTTTCACATCCCTGGCTTCTTTTTGATGGGCCCAGTGCTAGTCTGAATTTCTGGCATGGATGCCCTGGCAGGTTCCCTCCTTGGCAGCAGAGTTAGGAGGTAGCCATGGGTGCCCAGACTCAGTGGCCTGCCTCCCACCTGCTGCTTGTGCTCCAGCCATGGGCCGATGGGTTTACCTCTCACACGGGGAACAGTTTCCTCTCTCCTCTGCTGAGGGAGCCAGCTCTGAAGAGACATAGAAGCTGTCAAACTTAGAGACAGAAGCCTGTGTTCATTTTTTCCTTTGGTCTCTCACTTAAGTTTTTATGTGCTGGGGACTGCCACGAACATGCTGGTGAGCAGGACATGTGTGGTCTCTTTTGAAGACTTATGGTCTAATAGGAGAAGCTTACTTTAAACATAGGAGAGGTAATTGTTTAGTCACCATGGTGACAAGTGCTTTGAAGAAGTAGCTCAGGGTTGGGGTTCAGAGAAGGCCTCCCTTGGGAAGTAGAATGTCAATATTGAGAATTGAAGGTTGAGTGGAAATTAGTTGGTGGAATTTGGTTTCTGGTAGAGGAAAAAGAGTGTGTGGAGACCTGGAAGAGGGAAGGAGTGTGGGATGTTGGAAAAATAGAAAAAGGCTAATGGCTCAGAGGCAGTGCATGAGTTGAGAGTGACTAAAGGGAGAGGCTGGTGAGACTGACAGGCCTTTGGGTTCTAGGAAAGAGCCTGGATTTGATCTCCAGGGCTGTGGCCATCAGGGGTTTTCATTCATTTTCCATGTCTGTCGAGTGCCCTTCAGTGTGTCTGGTATGTGTCCTGTGGAAATATTTGTTAGCTCCAAATGTTATTACATTATAGGCAGAAACCTTGCAGGGAGACAGCCAGATGAGAAAGAAGTGGTACTTTGGACATGAGTTGAGGCACACTCTGTGGTCATGAGTGCAGCCTCATTTCCATGGAATTTGTGTTCTGTTTGGTTTGAGTCCTCAGCATGAGAGAAAGTGGGGCCTCTGGAGAGACAGTGCCCTCCCTGCCCACCTGGATGGCCCTGGGGGAGGAGGCGCTGCTCTGTGCTGGTGAGGGTCTAAATCAGCGGTTCTCAACCTTCTTAATGCCGCGACCCCTTAATACAGTTCCTCATGTTGTGGTGAC